ACAGGTGGTTGAAATCAGCTTGCCCATTGGCGAGCTGGAAAGATGTGCTCAGCTCGCCAATGAGCGAGCTGGACAAGTGCGTGCAGCTCGCCCATGGGCGAGCTGGTCACATGTGTTTCACGTCGTGCGCTTCAACGACAGCATAGCTTCGAGATAATCTGCACAAATGCCATACCACGTTCGTAGCCCAGTACCAAAATCCTGACAAGATGTTGTAGTGCGGACACACAAAGTTGGCTGATCGACAACCCGAGTCGATCCAAGAGTTCAACTATGGCTCGCGGGATGGGAAACCACAGTTGGCAACTGAAAAAAAAATCCTCGTAGCACGTAAAGTAACTCGGAGGTGGATGCTTGGCATCTTGACCAAATTCGGGAAGGCGAAACTGCACAAAATCTGGGATCATGCGAGATCTCCGCATAACGTCGAGGGAACGAGCGGTACACTGGCTCGGACCGTTTTGTATCGTCATTGATCTACGCCTCGAAGGAACCCAGAAGTTAGCCTTTTGGGCCTCGGCAATACGCGCAGCTTCTAAATACCTCTCAGCCTCCTCTTTTTCTGCGATAAATCTTATGAATACCGGAGCAGGAAGTACATTACCACCAGAACACTCAAGATCGCTAAGATCGAAAATCGACGGATAGGCGCTTTCTGAAATTCTTCGTTCAGAAGACATGCTTATCAAACAAGTATGGAATGATTCAAAGAGAGACAGAATGAGAGAGAAACTTTCTTTGCCTTAGAAAAAATTATGTGGAAAGAAGTGAGTAAAGAATTTCAAAAACTTACTCAACATATTTATAACCAAGTTTCTACTATTCACCTTCAAAATTTTGGTCGTTAAAGTTCTGCCTAATTCTACCAAACTTGCCTAACAAATTCTAACCGCTCGCAAGAATTCTACGATTCTTACGGGCCTGGGGGCTAACTGTTGGGGTCAAAATCGGCTACGACAGAATTAACGAACAAAACTTTCCGCAAAGTTAAGAATATGTTTTAAAAATACGAAAAAGCTTCGAGAAGAAATCTAAGGACTTTCTGAACAAAGGAATTCCGTAAACTTAACAATCGTCAGCTTGGAAATCATCGGAAAACCGAATAAAACAATCCGCGATTGTCCAAATTGGCCAAATTAGTAAAACACGGCCGTAACGTCCAAAATCCCCGAAATGGTAAAAGCCGTTATTAAGGTCAAAACAATAACCTTGAGATCAACGTTTACGATCAAAACCGAATAACCGACCAGCTCGCCAACGGGCGAGCTGGCCATCCCTTACCAGCTTGCATGTTGTCGAGCTGAACCGTCTAGTCCAGCTCGCCAACAGACGAGCTGGTCAGGGCTGGCCAGCTCGCCTGTTGGCGAGCTGAACTAAACCATCCATGCCCCTCAAGTCGGCCATACTCTGAACCATGATCGTAACAACTCTTGTTTTGTCTCGATCCGTCTTAACATTGGAGTTTTATGATAAAAACCGTAAAAGACTTGTTTTCTCCTAAAACCTCGAGTAAATCGTATAAAACGGTTAAACGAAACACCAAACTTTGCCGGACTTGTAAAAAACCGCTAAAGACTTATTTTCTCGGAAAACCTCGAGTAAATCGTATAAAACCGCAACGGTTAAACAAAACACCGAGCATTGCCAAATCTTATGATTAACTCGAGATGTTTTATAAAAACGGCATCGTATCAGGAAACGATCTCATCTAAAATCATAAAACTGCCAAATCGTAAAATGGCTCAGAAAGTCTTAAAATGCGATAAAGGCCCACACACGACTTTAGACAAGATCTAGCCCAAAGATATGATGACGGTTTACTCATTATTCGCAGAAGTGGGAAAATGTTAAGTTTGAAGATAAAATAGAAGTTTTCCGAAGAAAAATGGAAAGATAAAAAAAATGGAAGATTTCCCTTAAGCGAGAACCAGGGCAGTAAAGGAAAGACCAACCGCCTGGAGAAGGAGTATATAAGCAGAAGTTCGAGGTCAAGAACAAGGGAGACGAATTTTAAGAGCTCTCATCTCACAGAAAAACTTAGCACTTAGAGCATTTTGGCAATTTTCCGGTTTTGTTATCGAGCTGCGACTCAACTAGGGTTCTAGTTTTAGGTTGCTAGAACTAGGAAAATCGCCGTCAGATCTTGTGGCCAAGGCTTTTACTTCATTGTACTGTTCTTACGGAAAATCGGAATAAGAAACCTATTTGCTCTCTTTTCGATTTTCGTTTTATTTTAGTTTCTTTCTCGTATTCAGATTGCTTGCGTGTGGTTAAGCAGATAGCTGGGACCTCTGGAAAATTAGGGTTTTCCCTAAGTTCCTTTATTCACGGAAATCGACAGTGTGAATTTCGGTTCCAACAACCACGGACGATCAGCTCGCCAACACGGCGAGCTGGACGGACCAATCCAGCTCGCCGGCTTGGCAAGCTGACCACGGACAATTAGCTCGCCAAGACGGCAAGCTGTAAGTACCAATACAGCTCGCCGAGTTGGCGAGCTGACCACGGACGATCAGCTCACCAAGACAGCGAGCTGGACGGACCAATCCAGCTTGCCGGCTTGGCGAGCTGACCATGGACGATCAGCTTGCCAAGACGGCGAGCTGGTCGGACCAATCCAGCTCGCCCGCTTGGAGAGCTGACCATCGACGACTAGCTCACCAAGACGGCGAGCTAGACAGACCAATCCAGCTCGCCAGCTTGGCGAGCTGACCAGGAACGATCAGCTTGCCAAGACGGTGAGCTGGAAGAACCAATCCAGCTTTCCGGCTTGGCGAGCTGACCAAGACCAGCTCGTCGGCTCGGGGAGCTGGTCGTACCACCCGCACCATTGCCCGTTGATCGGCCAAACACTAGGTATATGCCCCTCGAATCGATCATACTCTGAACCGTGATTGGAACATCTCTTGTTTCGTCTTGATCTGCATTCTCGTTGGAACTTTACTATGAAAACCGCTAAAGACCTGTTTTCTCGTAAAAACTCGAGTAAATCGTATGAAATGATACGGTAAAACGAAACACGGGAAGTTACCAAACTATACGATTGACTCGAGATGTTCTATAAAACACCATCGTATCATGGAACGATCCTGTCTGAAATTGTAAAACGGCTAAGACGCAAATCGGCCCGAAAGATCCGAAAACACGAGAAAGGCCCACTTACGATTTTAGACAAAGTCCAGCCCAAGGATATGATGACGGTTTATCCATCATTCGCAGGAATAGATAAATGTCAAGTTTGAAGATAAAATAGAAGTTTTCTAAGGATAAATGGGAAGATCAAGATAAATGGAAGATTTCCAATAAACACGAATTGGAGCGGAAAAGGAAAGACTGACCACCTAGAGGAAGAGTATATAAGCACAAGGTCGAAGCCAAGAGAAAAAAGAACTTTTTTAAAACCTAGAAAAACTGCTGTTAGCTTAGACGAATTTAGGACTTAGGTGGCTAGACTAGCAAGTCGGATTCTTAGAACATTTGGTTGTCTAAGTTCCACGATTCTCTTTGTTGTAACAGCTTTCAATCTCTTGATTCATATCTTCATTAATAAACAGCCTTTGCGCAACTTCTTCATCTATATTTGTTTATCTTTTTCGTTTTAGTGTGTTTCTGCAGAGATCCAGGACCTCTGGAGAATTAGGGGTTTCCTAAGTTTCCATATTTTCCGAAAATCGACAGTGTGAATTTTGGTTCCCGCACCTTGTAGCACCAAGCTGTTATGGTATTTTGTGTGAGGTCGTTTTAGTACTACAGAACACTAAAGGTTTTAGTATAGACAAAGAGAAACAATAGAGAAGGAGACGTTTTATTGATTAATCGAATAGGGACTACAATGTTTTGGTGTTAGAATCCTAATTCCAACCGCCTAGTTCTAGTTTTTCAATCTTTAAAGTGTCGATCCCTTATTCTAGGGTTTGGGATCTCCCTTTATAGATGTTGATATCGGCTTGTATTAGGTTAAACCCTTCCATATTGACAAATATAGAAGAATTCCCTTAGATGGCGAACTTCCGTTTTACACAAGGGTTGTTTTTGGAGCAGGGGTCAGGCCTTGGGAACCTAGATGCAAAGTCTGGGCCCTGGGTCCCTTCGGAGCAAGGGTTTCGAGGCCGGTGCCCAGCCCAGAAGCTGGAGGAATTTGGTGCCTGGATATTTTTCTCCCAACAGTTTGAAGGGTTCATTGGTGGCAGCCATCTTGGAGAACGGTGAGAGGATAGCCGCTATGGCGGCGAGTTGCTCGATCGTTGCCCTCTAGGTTTTGTCTTGGCCCGCAAAGCGTTCCATGACGGTGTCAATGAAAGTTGGGATTAGCGGTACGGAAGTAGCCGGAGTTGGTGCTACTGCGTCAGCTTCCTCGCTGGAAGTTAAGTCGTTACTCGGACTCATCTTTTGTTGACGCTACTTTGTTAGACCCTACGGTGGGCGCCAACTGTTTGAACCGAGTTCGGTCGTTTATCAGTAAGAAGGTGATGGGACTCGTCGGTGGGTTATTTCAAAGGCGTCTTATGATTTATGAGTAAAAGAGTCGGTTTATTAATGAGAGAGTTGGTGTACAAATAAGGAAGCAAACGAGACGAGACAGCGTCACTCAGTGAGTTAGCCGGAAAAGTACAAGTCAGAAAAGATACAGAGAGTAAAACTCTAATTCTAGCCGCCTTGTAAGTCAGTACTCGATTTAAGGATCCCCTTCTCGTTGCTTCCTCTCTCTCTCTTTTATAGTGATCTTTCTTTACCCTAAGTGACCTAGGTCGGTGTCTCTTCGAAGGCCTCTTGCTGATTGGCCTCTAGGTAGACCCGTTAACGTGGGCTTCTACCCGGCCGCTTCTAGTTGTTTAGTCGCCGAGGCGACTAGACTTGGGCTGCGCGAGGCGTCCCCGAGCTGAGCCGAGGCGTAATAAGTTAATGAGCCGGCTTGGGTTGTTGCTAGGTGAACTGAGCCTGTTATCTTATGAGAGGAAGTAATCCACCTCCTACACACATTTATGTGGAAACTCTAGGCTTAAGTTTCGTTCAATCAGTTTATGTGGTAACAAGCAATCCAGCTTATCCTTGTCATTATTTCGGATCAAATAATGTGATGACCCTTTGAAAAAAGTTAACACTAAAGCACTAAAACTCATTCATACTGGAACCGTCCAGATCAGCCAATAGGATATTTTAAAAAAGAAAAACTGTCGACTGACTTTACCAATATATCTAATTACTTAACTGATTTAACCATTAATATAATAACATAGGAGTTACACAGATCCAATGTTCTCTTTTGCTTGAAGTCTCTTATATCTTCTCTGTAACCTAGACCTGAAGCCATATATACTCACATTAGACATGATGACTAGACCCATGTCTTGCAGTGAGACCCTAAAAAACCAATGTAAAGGATGACCCATCACGAAGTTTTGAGTTTTTTTTTTTAACAATTCAAATGAAAAAAGAAGAAAAAGAGAAAACAAAGAATGTCTTATCCGAACCAACATTTTAGACAACAATTATGATCCCAACAAGACCACATAGATAGACATGTAAGTTCATCGAATTTATTATAGCTTCAAGTAATTTAAACCTTCAAAGAAAGCTTTTGAGCTGCAAGTGCTTCAGCCTCAAGGGTCGGTTCCCAGAGAAGTGTGGTCTCTGCCAAGAGAGAAGTCACAATGTATGGGTCCATGTTTGATGCTGGACGTCGATCTTCCAAGTAACCTATATATATTCCAAGGACAACGATATATATTAGCTATATATAGCATAAAACGAAAAAAGGATGTGTTACCATTCCAGCAGAATCAGTACCTTTTCCTTTCTTCTCGGTATCACGTCCCACACGAATTGAGCATCCACGGTTAGCAACGCCCTGCCAAATTGAAGTTTTAAGCAAATGAGCAGAGGGACAAAGCAATTGGGACTTAAAAAGTGAAATGTTTCAGAATCTTATTGCATATATGCATACCCATGAGAATTGGTCAATACTAGCTGTCTCGTGCTTTCCGGTCAACCTTCTCTCATTGCCTTCACCGTATGCACTGATGTGCTCCATGTGACGAAGCGAGAGGTTCAAGATGGCCTTTTTGATCACCTCAAATCCTCCTTCATCTCTCATGCTTTTTGTACTGTAATTGGTATGGCAACCAGCACCATTCCAGTCACCCTCTATCGGTTTGGGATCAAGTGTTAAAACAACACCAGCTTGTTCTGTGATTCTCTACAAAAAGGTAAACAACAGTTACGATAAATTAACTCTCACAGTCTCGGTCACTAATCTAAACAAAAGAGAAATAGGGTTACCTCAAGAAGGTATCTTGCACACCAAACATGATCACCTGCTTCGATTCCTACGCTCGGGCCAACTTGGAATTCCCACTACAAATAATAATATAAATTTTTTATCAGATCAAAAAAATATAATAATAAAATATAATTTATTATTCTAAGCTTCTATTAAAAAAAGACACCTGTCCTGGCATAACTTCACCATTAGTACCACTGATGTTAATTCCAGCATATAAACAAGCTTTGTAATGAGCATCTGAAATGTCACGTCCCCAAGACTTTTCAGCTCCTACTCCACAGTAGTAAGGACCCTGACACCAACAAAAAAATGCTGGTTCATTTACTTTTTGTAAACCAACACAAAACATACTTTTATAGCTTGACTTGGTTATCACCTGAGGACCAGGATACGCTCCAACGGGCCAACCCAAAGGCCAGTTTACGTTTGGCTGAAGTAAAGTGTACTCTTGTTCAATGCCAAACCTATGATCATGAGAGAGTATTTTAACATATATACAGGGATGTATCTGGGTATAGCCTATGAAATATTGCCTTTGGCCCCCAAAACTTTTGGAGATTATATACATAGGTATAGATCCCCAATTTTATGAACAGTTTTCTTTATTATTCTTAAAATGTTTTTATTCCCCCAAATCTCAAGAAACCATCCATTAATATACTAGCATCATAGACCATGACAAACCATGGTGTGTGTATATATATATATATATATATATATTTATATATAACTCCTAAAATCTCAAGAAATCTTTTATAATACCGATATTTATATATGAGAATTTTGGGTTATGACAAACCATGGCAACTCTTCATTGACCTTCTTGTTACTGAAAATCTCAGCAGCTCTGGCACGTTTGTTTGTTGGAATTGGCTCACCAGCTGGTGTGTAAGTATCACAGATAACCTTTACATAACAATAGCTTAATACTTAGTGTGTGACTACGAAAAATGTTACTTAATTATATAATCAAACACATTGATGCATACCAATATGTTGTTGCCTCCACGGAAAGGATCTCTAAAGATAGCTTGCGGACTGAATAACAACATAAAACGAAGTTATGAAGAGATTGTGAAATAATATCAAATGAAAATTAGAAATGTCTAGTGCCGTGGGGAAATATCTTACTATAGAATCACTTCACTATCTTCACCAGGTGCTTGTCCGGTACTGGAACCATCATAGTTCCACTTGGGAAGCTCAGAAGGATCTTCCACAGGCTTTTCAAGAGTCTATAATTTTCAAGAAACCAACCATTAATATGCTAACATCATAAAGTCACTAAAAAGTCTATTAGAGTATCATACCCTTGACTTGCTCCTAAGGTCAATTCCTGATCCTCCAATCCTATTTAAATTAAAGGACAGATCATTAGAAACCACATACCAGAAGTGAGATATGAGACATAGAGAGGTTTCTATATATATACCAAATGTACTCAGCGATGATCCGGTCAGTGAAAGGTTTGGTGTCTAAATTGAGAAGACTCTCAACTCTATTGATTGTACTGTTATCTGATTGGAGGGCCATCACTTTAAAGCTTCTTAGTTTGCTGCTGCTCTGTTTCTTCTGTTTCAACACAACCGCGCTCCATAACTTTGAAGATGCAATGGGGCTCGGTTTATTCAACTTCATATGACATGTTGGAGAAGCTGCCAAGATTTGCGCCATTTTCTTTAAAAGCTTGGATCCCTGATCAGATCAAATGTACATTACATGACATCAATATCGTGTTTCTTGTTCTGAAACATTCAGATTCTTGACCAAGATCGATTAAACTAAACCATATTCACTAAAAGGTGATTGATTAGAAAGTAACCAAACTATATTTAAGTTAAGAGGGAAAAGACAAAGAGATCCAATTAAAATACCAAAAAGTGTGATGATCCTTGTTGATATTAGTCAAAAAGAAGATAAGTGTCGATTAATTAGTAAGTGGTGGACCCGAGATCTACTGGGAGCAACCTCTTGGAAGCTTAATTAACAAAGAAAGCCAGACTTTAACTTTTTATTACATTAGTTTCCTTGGAGATTCTTTTACACGAAACAAATGGGTTTCCAAATCCAGTAACAAGATCGGATCAAATGCTGGAAAAGGTAAAAAGCGTATTGGGGAAAACGACGAAGTACCTGGGAACTTGAAGAAGCCTTAACTCTGTTTCGAGAGACTTGAGTGTTTGCAACAAATGGCAAAGAAAGAGTTGACAAATATGAAGAGAAGCCTTAGAATTTGAATATCGTTTTTCAGAAAAATAAAAATATAATAAATAGAATAACTTTTTATTTAAAGAGGGGACTGAGTGAAGTGGCTTTTGCCAAAGAGATAGGGGTGTGCTCTACGAGTGGTGCAAAAGTTTTTTAGGTAAACGCTCTGTCTTCTGCAGATAAGATGTCGTTGTACCTTTCAACTTCAGTATTCATAATTGTACCCTTTTAATTATGGGATTAGTTTGACCATTATTTATCAATTTATTATTGGAAAAAACTCCATTTAAATCCCAAACTTCTAAAAATAAGCAATAATAAACTCCAACTTTTAAGTAAGCCAAATAATTCCTAGACTTTTAAACTTTTCCTAAATTAATCCTAAACTTCTTTTGACTCGGCCTTTTTAATCATCTCAAAAGTCAACGGTTAATTAGATGTAAACATCCGTTAATTAGTAAAACAGTGAGTTTTAGTGACTCATAAAATTAAGAAATCTGCTTGAGTCGTGAACCCTAATTCCCATAGCCAACTAATTAAATCCTTCTATGAAATATTGTCGAGAGAAATAAGGTGAAGATCATAAGGACTTGAAAATATTGATGATGCGGAGGAAGAAGCTTGTAACGAGATGAGCTATAACACAGCGTGAAGATGGACATGATCAAAGAGAGCGTGAGCATGAGGATGTTAATGAAGATGGAGTTGCAGATGCTGGTGGTGATAATGAAGAGGATGAAGTTGAAGAACACCGAGCAGTAGAGGAAGAAGACCATGGACTAGGTGTGGAAGAAGATTGTGAAAATTTATCATAGTATTTTGTAGATATTGCAAGAGAAGAAGAGAACATGAGTGATGGGGAGAGTGGTGACGATATTTGGGACGATGATATGATACCGGATCCATGGTCTTCCGACAACGACGAAGAGTAGGTAGAACGCAGAGAGTTTTTTTCAAATAGTGTCGACAGTGAAGAACTTCTAGCACTGGGAAAAACTTTTGGGTGTGCAGCAGATTTTAAGTTGGCCATGTTAAGATATTCTCTGAAGACCTGTTATGATATTAAACTCTACAAGTCCACAACAGTGAAAGTGGGAGCGAAATGTTCTGATACTGAATCGAATTGTCCTTGGAGGATTTACTGTTCTTATGAACGAAGGGGGCCCAAGATGTAGGTGAAGGTTTATGTCAATGAGCATAATTGTAAGAGATCAGGCTACTCGAAGATGCTTAAGGTATCAACAATTGCTTTGTTGTTTGCTGAGAGGTTAAGGATCAATCGAAAGTTTACAAAGAAAGAGATAGCTGATGAGATCAAGAGAGAGTGCAATTTAATTGTCACAGAGGAGCAATGCGCAAAAGCAAAGTCTAAGCTTTTCTGAGAAAGAAAAACAAGCCATGAAGCTCATTTTTCACGTATATGGAATTATGAAGCTGAGATAAGAAGGTCCAATCCATATACAAACATGGTCATAGACACTATTCCTAGTGCTACTCCAGGAAGCAAACAAAGGTTTGATAGGTTATATGTATGTTTCACAGCTCAAAGGGAATCTTGGATAGAGTCATGTAGGCCTATTATAGGGTTAGATGGGGCATTCTTGAAGTGGGATATTAAAGGACATCTACTAGCTGCTTTAGAAAGAGATGGGGACAACAGGATTGTGCCAATTGCTTGGGCTGTTGTAGAGATTGAAAACAATGTGAATTGGGAATGGTTTGTCAAGCTACTGAAAGCAGATTTAGGACTACAAGAAGGGGGCACAATAACCATAATATCCGACAAGCAAAAGGTTTAGTTTCTGTATTGATTTGGTTATATGTTTTTTTCTATGTGTTGTGCTTATTGTGTTATTTTTCTTATTTATAGGGACTTGTGAATGCTATCAAGAAAGAGCTACCAGAAGCTGAACACCGTATGTGTTCCAGACACATCCTTGCAAACTGGAAGAGAGACAACAAGGATCCCGAACTGGAGAGGATATTTTGGCGAATAACATGAAGTTGCACTACATGAGATTTTGATGAGCATATGCGAGCTCTACAGATTTATTCTGCAGGTGTATAATTCCCTTAAAAAAACAAACCCAAGAACATGGTCGAGAGATTTTTTTTAGGTTAGGATCAAGCTACAACGTCAACCTCAACAACCTTAGTGAGTCTTTCAATAAGACTATTAGGGAAGCATGAAAAAACCATTGTTAGATATGTTAGAGGATATAAGAAGACAATGTATGGTTTGTAGTGCCAAAAGATCTCTACTTGCTACACGGGTTAAGACTAGAATTCACAAAGAAAGTACATTTGGAGGTTGAGAAAACAAAGGAAAAGGCAAAGGATTGCATTCGATACATGGCATGTGGAAATGTTCATGAGATTGATGATGGAGGGACTGCTTATAGTGTTGATATGGATTTGAAAACATGTGGATGTCTCAAATGGCAGCTTAGAGGCATTCCATGTATTCATGCCTCTTGCGTGATCACTGCAAAAAAGTTAAAAATGGAAGATTTTGTGTCCAAGTTTTACACCAGTGACATGTGGAGAGTAACATACTCTAGGGGTATTAAACCGGTTCAATGAATGAAATTATGGCCTAGGATGAATAGGTTACCCGTTTTGCCACCACCATATAGACTACGCAATCGGGGTAGACCAAACAACTATGATAGGCGAAAAGGAGCAAATGAATCTTCCTCAAACCAAAATACCAAGCTTGGACGAGAAAGGCGTTTGATGACATGTTCTAATTGCTTAGACACAGGCCACAACAAAGTCACATTTGTATATCCGACAGCTGAAAGGGAACCAAAGAGGCCAAGGGGTTGGCCAAGGCTTCAACATGTGGTATAATTTGCTTTCTAAGTTTCAGTTTTTATTGTTGACAACATGTTTGTTTTTGCTTACTCTTTTCAATTTTTATAGGAGGAGCCAACACAAGGATTTTTCCAAGGTCTTTCTCAAGACCAATCACAAGCTTGACCAAGTGTGATATCGGTTATAATGACTCACGGTCTTCATCTTTTTTGTTATGTCATGAGTAAACTACTATATTTGTGTTATGAGTTTTTTTTTATATAGTGGTTCACATCCTTAACTATTTTGTTATGTAATGCTTCATAACTCTATTTTATATGTTCCTTTTTATGTATTGATTCTAAAATCCACGTTGTGTAATGGTTAACAATCTTTTTCTTATCGTTTTATCATAACCAAAACACCAGTATAAGAAAACCAGCAACATGGTCGAGAAAAAAAAAACACATTTTTTCCCAAAAGTTACCATGAACAACAGCCTAAACATCATCAATAACTGAAGTACATCTTTACAATCTCACTACATGTGCATTTGTTGGGAAACTTACGAGACTTATTTGAACCCATGATAAAGAGGAAAAAGAAATATTTTTGTAATTAGGGATTGCAGTCTACGAAGAAGAAAGGAAAAACAGTTAATTTAATAAGTCACCAAAACTCACTTTTTTTCTAATTAACAGAAGTTTTACGTATACTTAACGTTGACTTCGAGATGATTAAAAAGGCAGAGTCAACAGAAGTATAAGATTAATTTGGGTAAATTTTAAAAGTTTAGGAATTATTTGGTTTGCTTAAAAGTTGGAGCTTTTTTGGGCTTATTTTCAAAAGTTTTGGTTTTAAATGGCGTTTTTCCCATTTATTATTAAATTAACTTTAGTTTTGTTTTATTACTAGTTCGAATTTTATATTTAGTGTATATCCCTAATTCCATTGTTACCAAAAATAATATTAACGAAAATGTCATTACCATACTTTTCAAACTCAACAAAAACAATAACAATTTTGTAATTGATATATATTTTTCTATATTTTATATAGTCAAAAAATTAGAGTTAGTTTTACGACATATTTATTGGGAAAAAGTTTGTCAGTTACACGAAGTATATGGTAATATGGTAGAAACCATCCACTGTTTCAAAATATGTTGATAACTACACGATGTTTCTTTTAATAAATGCCACACATACAAAGTTATAACTAATATGTTGACAACATCATGAATCGGTTTAATTGATTGTTTCCTTAGTTAGTGGGGTTATTATGTAATTTTCAAAACCTAAACCCAAACTATCGAAAACTGACCCGACCTAACTCCCTAAACCCGAGAAGTAACTTATGTTTTCCCCAAAACGAATTTCTTAGGGTTCATCAAAGAGAAAATTGATTTTGGAAGTTTTTAACATAGAGAGAGGAAGCGATGGAGAGGCCGAGTGAAAGACATTGAGAGAGATTTCTGATTATTAATCCAACCAATCTAATTTCATTTCAGAGTTGTTTTGTTTCTAAAGAAAATTGATTTCGGAAAAATGTAAATTTGACTTTTAGAGAGTGTGATTGGAGTAAATCGTCTGTGATAGTGTGGTTTATGGAGATTCAGTTGAAGGAAAAAAGTGATTCATACTGAAAATAACTTCAGCTGGGCTTATATA